GTCTCCCGAGCTCCAAAAAGTTATCTGAAGACAAAGGAAAATCAATCGGTATTTGCTATTTTCGTCGCTTCTTTTTATGTTTGTTCAGGGAAGTGTTCGTTGTCCGATCATAAAAATATTTTTCGTGAAAGTGTTCGTTATCCGATCACCCACTGTATATAAATTAGCTATCATAATTGAAGTACTTCTTGAGAAAACGGTGTAGCCCACAAAACTACAAAAAAATAAATAAATAAAAAGTTATTTAACAAATTTGGATTTGTGCAGCATTCATCTATCTTCAATGAAACTTTCACGGTTCAATTGTATGTCCCATGGGTTGTACACTCACATTAATAAAACGTTGCCTATTAAAATATTGACAAATTAAAATACACAAATCTTCATTTTTCCTCAAAAACTTCCCAAAGGATTCGCCGTTTTTCCAGTAAGTCCCTCAATTTTTACGTTTTGTTGCCAAATTTTTAAACATTAGTGTAATTTTTAGTAATAAAAGCATTTCAAATTTTTGAGAAAGTAAAACTTTCACTAGAAAATAGGAAGTTCAAAGAAACTTTATTATTAAGAATGGAAACAGTTTATCAGCATTCCAAAAGAGTAAAGGAAATGTTAGTGAGAACTATCATTATTGTTTTGTTTGGAATTACACTATGTAGAGTAAGGTTTGTTCTTAAAAATAAATGAAAATTTGATTTTTTCTGAGTAGAATTATTATAGTTACTTGTAAACATTCAGAATGTTTACATACAATTGTGACAGTAGTCTTTTGGGCATTGTAGTCACTGTAAACATCTTTTAACTTCACACTATAAGCATAGAATTGAACAGTTATATCCATATCTGGTGTTTTACTAAGATCATCAATGATTTGAAGTTCTGCACTCTTGTGGAAAACAGCTAAATTAACATACTAGATTAATCTGTAGATAACAATTTTAAAAGCATTTTTTCTTTGTAATTGATTTCATAATAATGCAATATTTAAAAAATTGTTTATTGTAGTTAGAGATATCAATAATTTTTAAATTCTTTGAAAAATTCAAAAATTATTGATATATGCAAACAGTTTGATAAATAATTATTGATATAACTAAAAACAATAATTTTAAAACTAATTATATTGATTAGTTTCAAATACTTACAGGTATATTATCTTTCAAATACTTACAGATATATTATTTTTGCTAATAATAATACAAAGTGGAAAATTTTATTTTATTTACTTATTTACTAATTTGACCTAATTACTGGTCTGTTTATAACATACAAAGGAATATAACATAATAATAAATATTAAAACATTAAACATTAAAATAGTTTCTAGTAGATACAGGTACTTGCAGATATAATTGTTGTAGCGGAGCAGGATATTCAATATCGGATTGCAACAGAGGCCTTAAAACACTGTATACATTGGATATTGAAAAGTATTATTAATAATAAACAAAAGCACCAAATAAAAGGAGAAACAGCAATAATTGGATTTATATATAGAAAATTTTACATGGTAATTTCTATCAGAAATCTCGTTATCCGTGTTGTAAATGAATTTAAAACATATTTTCTACAATATAAATCTGTTATGGAATCTAAATTAAACTATAGCATAATTATATAAGGAAATACACCTTGTTTGGCTGCAATTTTAAAACATTGTAGACCTACAAATTCCCAATTTCTTTTGTTTGTCTTTCCTTAATCTAGACAATGGAGTTAGATGGATGATAGTCGAGACCAGATGGAAACCATAGGGGCAGGAAGCCCGATTAACTCTATATGAACTTCTGATGCAAATCAGAAGTCATGTTATTTCAATTCAAAAAATTCCCCTGAAAGGTGTTAGATAGATGACTTGCACGACTCTACTATTAAAGGGAAATTATGATGTACAGGGGCAATCCAATGCTAATTTGAGGCAGAGAGTATATATTTTAAATTAAATTAATTAAAAATATGATTAAAAATTGCAGCCCGGCATTGTGATGATATCACAATAAATAATTACTCGTTTCATTTTATTAGATTGTAAGTGAGGGAAAATAACTGTTATCTTAATTAAACATCAATCATTTTATTTTAATAGAACATTTTTTATAGTGAAGAGAAATTAGATTCTACAAAGTTAAAATATGCAAAGATTATTTTATTTCATCCAAAATACGGTTGAAAATATATGAATTCATTATTCATATACTTTTTCCAATTTTATAATAATCATAAACGTTTTTCTAATCCTTTATACAAAGTAATAAGAGTATTTTACTTCCGAAATGCACTTCCGAAATAAGACAATGTTCCCTTAGCTATTCCAGAGTAAAAATTTAGAATTTACATCTTGAAATAAAACTATAAACCCATCAAAAACCTCTTAACAATAGATTTTATTTGAATTATTTATATGTGTATTTTTTATAAGACTAATCCCCAAATCTCTTTTTAGTTACATGTATTTTTCTTTTTCTTGTTTTTCTTTTCTAGATTATCTGGAGGAGACACTGAACAATAATATTCTTTTGCATGTTTTCCATGTGTATTTGTATTTGTAATCTTCAAGTTTACATTGTAGTAAACAAAGGTTATTAAATCACGAATTTCTATCTTTAGTTTGTGCTTTCTTCATTTAATTATTTTATATCGCTTTTTGTGATTTTATTTTCAAATTAGCATTAATAATTTCTTCACTATTTTGATAGTGATATTTCAGTTTCTATTCATATTTTAGCAACAATCTATTAAATAGCCTAACATTTAAAGTTTTTATTTATAAAATTTTATAGAAAATATAAATAATATACATACTGTATACATATAAAAATATACAGAACTGGTAAAAATATAGAATACAGCGTTATATAAAAATATACAGTATAATATTTTTTAAAACGTCATCCTGTAGGCGCTAAGAGGGTATTTTTTCAAGCTGATTATGAGGTTTGTGGTCAAACTCAACTCCACATATCTGGTTCACATTACCTGTGAAAAATTTTAAAAGTTCAAATTTGGAATTCAATCTAGGTCCTATAGAGTGCAAACTGTTTTTTTTTTTTTTTTTTACTGCTACTGCCATTCAGCCCGTTGTATTGTAATATTAAATGTGAGAAATATTAGGAATATTTAAAAATATTTTCTCATATTTATATATTTTTTATTATTTTAAACATAAACAAGGAAAACGGCAAAACCGTATTTGGGACAAGAATATGTCTCGGAGACTCACTACTAAGCAGCATCACTTTGACGTTCAAGGAGGGTCTTGCTCTCATTCTCCAATATTCTTTGGTATCGCTGTTTTTGGGCGCAATCGTTCAAACTTCGCTGGGCACGACCATGAGGTCGTCCACGATGCATTTTCGATGAAATTAACCTATCCAATTTCGAAATTTCTCTCCGTTGCGTGTCGAATTTTTGCCGGGTTGAATTTTTGTCGATGCATAACGAAAATATCCCGTTTTTTTTTTTTTTTAAATAATCGTGACTATTGTATCGTCCGAAATTATTATTTTTATTTTGCAAAAAGAATATAAAGTTTAACCCGATTATAATGTCATTGGATGTAATGACAACCCTAATATAAAGTCAAATTTTTATCGGTCCTACGATTTTACTATGCTAGATAATGTTGAAAAACCTACTTGTAACGACATAAAAACCCTGTTTTAATGTCATATTTGAAGCACTCCCAAATTTACAAAATTAGATTATAAATTTTATTTAACAAAGAAAATATTACGCGTTCAGTCCTAGAGTCAGAATCCACTTCCTAGAACGACTGTGGGTGGTACTCTCACTATCTCACTTCGGTTTGCCTGTTTGTAGAGAGAGTCGCCGTTTTATATTTTACTTTGACTCGGTTCTCGGTCCCCTGAGACCTACAAATCTGGTTTTTTTTATGCGAGATGATTTAGGCACCTAATACTCTGTGCCAAATTGCAACCCCTGACATGTACTCTTTCATACCTCTAACCTGGTAACACAGCAGGCAGTACGATATTATAAACAAGACATAGTCTTGTCAAAAATATTATTACGTTATATTATAAAAATTGCTTATTTCTTTTATATGTATTATGAAAACTATGATTATTTTGTTCTTATTAAAAGCATAGTTATTATAAATTTATTTTTTTAAATATATATTTCATGACTGAATGACAAAAATACAGTCAACCCCCCCCCCTATAACACGGTAGATACGTTCAAGTTGTTATGAATCCATTTTCTACGAGTCCAGCCAATCACAGCCCGGAACATATGCAGTTTACGGACTACGGCTGTTTGAAAGCTTTCTTCCATAAAATTAATCGCTTCTAGACTAGTTCGACTCAACATTTCCAAAATACGTATAATTTTTTTGGGAATAATCCGTATAAACTATGCTATAAACAAAAAAATTGTAGGATTACTTACCGAGTGTGCACCGTTCGACTACGCAATTGCTTAAACTTGTTTTCGTCGTGGAGATTGCCATCGAATGGCGCTCGCGTGCTTCTTGATAAATTATTTTTTTTTGCGAAAAATTCACTGAACTTTGGAGACATCATTAATATAAATATAATTTTTATGGACGTTAAATAATAAATGGTTTTTAGTAGATCTGCTGCTCATTTAAACTCAACGATTTTTGCAATATCCGCTATTGGTCTAGATTCGACCAATCCTGTCGCGACACGAGTCGGCGATGACGTTTTACCGAATTATAGGAGTTTTTTTAGCATGTTTGTACGATTACTGTCGCAATTTTTTCGCCATGATATAGGAATCCGAACTCTAGAAACCCGTATTATATGGGGGGGTCGACTGTATTTCATTATACAGTCGACCCCCTATAACACTGTTGATTATTCCGTTTTATATGAATTCCATGTTGTACGAGTCACTTAGATTTTACAAGTATTTACTTAGCATTTGTAAAATCTAAGTGACTCGTACAACATGGAATTCATATAAAACGGAATAATCAACATTGTTATAGGGGGTCGACTGTATTCATTACCTTTAGTAATACAAAACATTTACAAAAGCGAATAGTTTAACTGTTGGCAATTCGCAAAAAAAGTAAATGTTTGCTTATAAAAATACTTTAATCATATTTTATTTTATGCTTAGTTAATATTTAATGATTACAATGTTACTGGCATATAATATAATTTACAAATATAAGTAGAAAAAAATAAATTTTATGTATAAATAAATCTTGTAAATTTATAAAATATGTTTAAATTTTTCATTATTTCGAGTTCATTTTAATATTTTCAGATATGTAATTTTTTACATATTATTTTTGCACAGATATGATGTACAGTACTGATAGCCTACTCTAAAACAATATAAATTACAGAATAAAAGTAACTTAAAAAGTTTTTTTATACAGTCGTAGCTTTAATAATGTCCACTTCTAAACGGCGGCAATATTTTTCAGAAACGTTTTTTCAATGCATACAAAATAATCTCTAGACAATGGCCAATTTTTATGCTTTCATGCATTTCAAGAAATGATACTGTCTAAATAAATAATTAAATATAATTTATACATTTATACATCTTTACTGAATTAAATGATTGTATTTAATCTGAATTAACAGTAAAATAATTCAAACCGTTATAAAAAAATGGCAAATATTTATCAGTTATACACATTAATAGTAGCTTCATTAATATTTAGTAAATAAAAAAAGTATACTAATATTTAGTAGAAGGATTAATTATTAAAATTTTGGTTCATATAAATATTTATTTACTTTTTCAATTTAATTGTCATTTATTTACTAATATACTTAATATATTTATGTTTAACTCATTATAATGATCAAACTACATTAAGAGTGATTTGAATGAAAAAAATATAACTTTTTCTCCTATAAATTATTGAAAATTTTATTAATATACAAACTGCAAATTTATAAATGTTTCGTGTTATAATCTAATTAATTTTTTGTATTTTTAATAAAGGTATTTTGCTTTATATTTGAGAATTAGAGTTGTTTAATACAGTTTCTAACATGTACAGTACAGGTCTATATTCGCTGCTAATCAAGCATCTACAAAATTTACTTTTACGAAAAGTATTTATTTTTAAAGTTATAATTAGCGTCTAGAACAAACAATATGTAAAAGAATGAAAATTTATTTCGAAATAAACATTTTGCAAATATTTAAATTAGACGAGTATGCTATTGAAACAGAAAATCAATTTTCTTGACTATTATTAATTCCAAGAATTCTAAGAAATAATTTTTATTTTTTGAAGTAATTCATGTATACATTAAACTAATTCGTTGTATCAACATTTCAAACAAACCTAACAAAGTTACGATTATTTGTCTTTTAATTATCGCATCTTATTTTAAATTATGATTAAAAGCAAACCATAATTTACAAGAAAAAGTTTTAGTAGTTTTGTTTCTTTATCTAATTAAAAATAACTTTTTTTTATAAGTTTTTGCTTATGTATTTTAATGAACTTAAACACTGATGAACTAATCTAATGTTTCACTCGCGCCCAGATTACAATTTTTCTCTAGAGAAATAAACTTTTAACTTCGAAGCCTCGAAAAATATAAAATTAAGAATATGTTAATAAATATTAGACTCATAGTTTTGTGAATTTAATGAACNATGAATATATACATATATATATACATATACATATATATATATACACATATATATATATATACACAGTATATTTTGAAATAAGAAATACGTACATTATATTTTTTATTTCGAATACTTATACCACGTAATTTCGATTATATTTTTTATTTTAAGAATATTTAGTACTCATAAATTATTCAATATCTTAAAAGAATTTTGAAAATTAGAATTTTAAATTTTTAAAAAAATATAATTATGTAAATTTATAAATGAAAAAAATACTTTTATAATTTATTTTTTCTAATAAATTTTAATTTATATAATCTATCTTTTCTCTTTTCTAAAATTTCTTAAATTTAATTTTTAAACGCCGAAAAAAATTTTCTTAAAATATTGCTATAATAATTTCAATAGACTCTATTGTTAAATTATATTAATTGAATTCTATTTAAAACTTCAGAGAGCGGATTTAGCCATAGGAGACTTGACTATAAACACTCAAAGGGAAGAAGATGTGGACTTTACAATGCCTTTTATGAATTTGGGAATTGGTATATTATTTAAAAAACCGGCTCGAAAAGAACCGACTTTATTTTCTTTTATGTTCCCCTTTTCGACACCTGTATGGATTTATATGGCTACAGCATATTTAGGAATGACAGTTGTAGTATATATCTTAGCTCGCTTGTCACCATACGAATGGATAAACCCACATCCATGTGAAATGTATCCAGATATACTTAGCAATCAGTTCAATTTCTTAAATACTTTATGGTTTTCAATCGGCTCACTCATGCAACAAGGATCTGAACTCGCACCAAGGTATACTTTTGTATTCTGTAGTAAACTGATTTTATTAACTAACTTTCAATATAAAAGAATTCAGTATAAAGTTTCGAGTAAATATTTATGTTTAACTGATTTAAATCTATTGTTGTGAACGTCCTCTGTGTATGGAAATATTTTTAGTATTATGAAATGCAGAAAATAAATTTATGTAAAAATGTAAAACTTAGTTTCGTGCAGTTGCATAGACTTTCCTATGCATTAGTATTGAAAGTTTATAGTAAAGTTTATAAAAATGAACATGGTTTATATAGCATATAGTCTATATATATAAGTTTTCCATTCACTGAAGTGTTGAAGTCAAGTCAGATTATATTTTATAAGTGTGTAAAAAATCAATATGTTTTTAAGACATTTTGCCAAAGAATAAGTAGAAGAAACTATTATAATTATTTAATAATTTTCAATAAAAAATTAATCTAGTTTGAAATTTTTTTGAAATGTTTTATGCTATTAATATTTACACATGTCGAGTTATTAATACTTTATGTTATAAAGTTATAAATAATATAATAACGTAAATAATCTTATTCAGAACTTTATATTATTATTTGCTAGAGCATTATCAACGAGAATAGCTGCTGGCTTTTGGTGGTTTTTTACTTTAATAATAGTATCTACCTATACCGCTAACTTAGCAGCTTTTCTTACATCAGCAAGATTGCAATCACCAATAAAAAACGTGCAAGATTTAGCAAAACAAACAACAATTCCCTATGGCTGTTTGGAAAAAGGATCTACTAGAACTTTTTTTAAGGTAATATTTTTTGCTCTTAATTTTATATTAATTTTAACGAGAAAAAATAACGTCAATAAATAATTTTTTATGAATTAATTTGTAATGATTAGAATATATTTAGATATTATTGTTTATCACATAAAAGTTATTAATAAATGTTGTTTAATATCATAATTATTTATCAATTAATATTAGAATTGTGTATTAAATAATAATATATTTTATCATTATATATATTATTTTTCAACTTGTTTTAAAATAATTAATTCTACGCTTGCATTTATATCTACTTTATTTATGTAAAATACTTAGTTTAAAATCGTCACGAAATTTTTGTTATTAATAGTTTTGATTGGGAATAAGGAAACGAAGGTGGCGAGTCAAGCGACGAAGCCCCCCAGTTATTCTATAAATTCATTCAAAGTTAAGAATGCAAAAGTGTTTGTACTCATACGTTCTAGATGATTTAAAATAGATATCAAACTTAGCCAAGTGAAATAAGCAGAATTTAGCAACTAATAATTATTCCTGTTAAATGACCAGACTCTATGAAAGAACTACGTTATTTGGGAAACCGTAGGAGACATTTTCGTATCTGTCTTGCTGCTGTTATCTAATGATGGATGATTATAAGCAGGGACGGGCAAAGTCAGGCTATATTTTCCTATCATACATCCTCTTCTCTCGAGTGTTCCTTGATAAAATAGATAACTATAAATTTATTAATAAGAACAACAATGCGTTAATAACAAAATTTTTAATAACTCACTGAGTATAAATTATTGAACTTTGATAAAAGTAACAAGTTTAGTTTAATAAAATTTCATCTTAACTTTATTATATTTTCATAAAGCCAACACAAAACTTACTTCTACATCAAGTAATCTCATAATATGTTTAAATTTAGCTTATATCTTCCAAGTATTTTATTGTATATTAATATTCTTCTGAAAAGATTTAATAACTTTGATATGCTAATAAAAACTTATAAAATATTTAAATTAACATTTTATTCGTGAGATATTTTGTTTAATAACTTATTTAATAGAGAATATTATTACAAGAACCATAAAGTGAAGACTGATGTTTCTATTAAAGCAATTATATGATTGTAACTGATATAATTACATTTATTACTGCTTAAATAAGACCAAAATTTTAGAATTCTTCAAATTCTTTTCTCTTTTCTAAAATTTCTTAAATTTAATTTTTAAACGCCGAAAAAAATTTTCTTAAAATATTGCTATAATAATTTCAATAGACTCTATTGTTAAATTATATTAATTGAATTCTATTTAAAACTTCAGAGAGCGGATTTAGCCATAGGAGACTTGACTATAAACACTCAAAGGGAAGAAGATGTGGACTTTACAATGCCTTTTATGAATTTGGGAATTGGTATATTATTTAAAAAACCGGCTCGAAAAGAACCGACTTTATTTTCTTTTATGTTCCCCTTTTCGACACCTGTATGGATTTATATGGCTACAGCATATTTAGGAATGACAGTTGTAGTATATATCTTAGCTCGCTTGTCACCATACGAATGGATAAACCCACATCCATGTGAAATGTATCCAGATATACTTAGCAATCAGTTCAATTTCTTAAATACTTTATGGTTTTCAATCGGCTCACTCATGCAACAAGGATCTGAACTCGCACCAAGGTATACTTTTGTATTCTGTAGTAAACTGATTTTATTAACTAACTTTCAATATAAAAGAATTCAGTATAAAGTTTCGAGTAAATATTTATGTTTAACTGATTTAAATCTATTGTTGTGAACGTCCTCTGTGTATGGAAATATTTTTAGTATTATGAAATGCAGAAAATAAATTTATGTAAAAATGTAAAACTTAGTTTCGTGCAGTTGCATAGACTTTCCTATGCATTAGTATTGAAAGTTTATAGTAAAGTTTATAAAAATGAACATGGTTTATATAGCATATAGTCTATATATATAAGTTTTCCATTCACTGAAGTGTTGAAGTCAAGTCAGATTATATTTTATAAGTGTGTAAAAAATCAATATGTTTTTAAGACATTTTGCCAAAGAATAAGTAGAAGAAACTATTATAATTATTTAATAATTTTCAATAAAAAATTAATCTAGTTTGAAATTTTTTTGAAATGTTTTATGCTATTAATATTTACACATGTCGAGTTATTAATACTTTATGTTATAAAGTTATAAATAATATAATAACGTAAATAATCTTATTCAGAACTTTATATTATTATTTGCTAGAGCATTATCAACGAGAATAGCTGCTGGCTTTTGGTGGTTTTTTACTTTAATAATAGTATCTACCTATACCGCTAACTTAGCAGCTTTTCTTACATCAGCAAGATTGCAATCACCAATAAAAAACGTGCAAGATTTAGCAAAACAAACAACAATTCCCTATGGCTGTTTGGAAAAAGGATCTACTAGAACTTTTTTTAAGGTAATATTTTTTGCTCTTAATTTTATATTAATTTTAACGAGAAAAAATAACGTCAATAAATAATTTTTTATGAATTAATTTGTAATGATTAGAATATATTTAGATATTATTGTTTATCACATAAAAGTTATTAATAAATGTTGTTTAATATCATAATTATTTATCAATTAATATTAGAATTGTGTATTAAATAATAATATATTTTATCATTATATATATTATTTTTCAACTTGTTTTAAAATAATTAATTCTACGCTTGCATTTATATCTACTTTATTTATGTAAAATACTTAGTTTAAAATCGTCACGAAATTTTTGTTATTAATAGTTTTGATTGGGAATAAGGAAACGAAGGTGGCGAGTCAAGCGACGAAGCCCCCCAGTTATTCTATAAATTCATTCAAAGTTAAGAATGCAAAAGTGTTTGTACTCATACGTTCTAGATGATTTAAAATAGATATCAAACTTAGCCAAGTGAAATAAGCAGAATTTAGCAACTAATAATTATTCCTGTTAAATGACCAGACTCTATGAAAGAACTACGTTATTTGGGAAACCGTAGGAGACATTTTCGTATCTGTCTTGCTGCTGTTATCTAATGATGGATGATTATAAGCAGGGACGGGCAAAGTCAGGCTATATTTTCCTATCATACATCCTCTTCTCTCGAGTGTTCCTTGATAAAATAGATAACTATAAATTTATTAATAAGAACAACAATGCGTTAATAACAAAATTTTTAATAACTCACTGAGTATAAATTATTGAACTTTGATAAAAGTAACAAGTTTAGTTTAATAAAATTTCATCTTAACTTTATTATATTTTCATAAAGCCAACACAAAACTTACTTCTACATCAAGTAATCTCATAATATGTTTAAATTTAGCTTATATCTTCCAAGTATTTTATTGTATATTAATATTCTTCTGAAAAGATTTAATAACTTTGATATGCTAATAAAAACTTATAAAATATTTAAATTAACATTTTATTCGTGAGATATTTTGTTTAATAACTTATTTAATAGAGAATATTATTACAAGAACCATAAAGTGAAGACTGATGTTTCTATTAAAGCAATTATATGATTGTAACTGATATAATTACATTTATTACTGCTTAAATAAGACCAAAATTTTAGAATTCTTCAAATTTCTAGATCTATATTTAAATAGGAGATACAATTCGTTGTATATTTTAGCTTTACCTATGCATCGAAGTTTGCCTCATTGTACTGCACTGTACATAATGGAATGTAAATAGGAAGGTTTTAAACAAATATTTTAATCTTCGTTGGACAAAATAGTCTTTTATTATTATAATGAATGACTTCTATACTTATGTATGAATTCGATTGATCATATTCAATTGGAAAATAAAAATATTAAACATGCAATTCTCATGGTTAAAGGTTAAATAATTTTAGTTAGTCTAAGTTCAAGGAATAATCACGTTTAAGAAGTGATTTTAATTAGAAAATCTAGCCATGACTTCGATTAATGAAACTTGGGTTAAAATAAATTAAAATTCGTTCGGATTTTATATAAGTGTCTATTTTGCTGTCATCATGGTGTGTTACTGTTGTTTGTTGTAAGTTCTTAACGTTAATTGGTTTTTTAACAAACCATTACCTTTTACTCGCAACATTAAGAAAGTAGCATTAACTGATTGTGCTTTCTGGAAGTGTGTATTGGACACTCTCGGGGAATTAAACTTTTGTTTTACTTACAAGCTGCATCCTAAGTGAATTTATTTTGTAAACAACCTTGCAGAATTTAATTAATTCTAATTCAAAATTTTCTCTTTTTAATTATAATATTGCAAGAACACAATTAATTGTTATAATAGTTATTAAATTTTTTACTTTAAAATGATACACAGTAGAAACTGTATTATAAACATCTTGAAAAATTTAATTTGACAAATGAACTCCTTCAGGAAATGAATAAATGCATATAATTTTATGCATAAAATATAATTTATTTTTTAGATTGCAATTAGATAGAAAGCAATTAAATATAGTTGCGTGAATAAATCGAAGAGACTGCACGAAAAACATTAATGAATATAGGAAAAAAGATGAAGTATAAACAAAAAACATGTTTGCGACATACTTTTTGTAATATTTTATTATTAACAGTTAAAACAAATTATTATTATTATTTTAAATATTACTTGTAAAATAAGACATGTTTCACGACTAATTTACTATTAAATTATTTTAAAATAATGTTATTTACTAATAAAATTTAAATTTAATTTAATTCGAATTTAATTCGAAGTTCTTCGATATACAAATGCATACACTTCGAATAACATTCTAAAATTAAACAGAAACAATGAAAAAATTGAATTAAAATTTTCTTGAAATATTACATAGTAATAGTCTAAGATAGAAAACACCGATAATGTTTATTGAATTTTTACTAATCTATTAATGAATTATCCATCTAGCTGTGCTATAAAACACTAATGGTATTACCAATATTTTTCAGCCAGTACTTTTAATAACTTTTGGCTCAACCATGCTTTTTTAATGATATCCAAGAAATTTATTATTATTAGAGTTCTTTATAAAATATAATTAATTTTGTAAGTAAATAATTGGAATTTTTGAAATTTTATGGTTAACTACAGGTATATATGCTTATGTTTGATTAATTACTATCGCGTGTTTCTTAGAAATAATAAAATTCTTTTAGTAAGGGCAAAGTTTAATTGTTAAAGGATCTTAATTTTAAACAATAAGTCTATACTTTGATCTATTTAATATTTTAATGTGAAAGATAAAGAATAATTACATTTGGAATTTAATCATAAATTTTTTTAGTTTTAATTTTAGTTATTATTGTAATTATTTGATTCTATAATCAAGTTATATCTTTACTTTTCTTTCAAAAGTGAACATTTGTAATAATTATATTTTAAGATGTTCTACAGATAACGTTTCTAAACATAAAGTTAAATATAGTTGGGAAATAAACTTTGTAAATAAAGTAACTTATTCTGTAGTTGCGACACAATATTATAGAATTATTTTATGCTTAATGCTATAATCTTTATGCTAATGATTTGTTTTATTTTTGATAGAACATCATATTTATCATATTAGGTCCACTAACATTTGAAAGATAATTTAAGAGAAATTTAAAATTTAATTTTTTTATTGTCATCATATGCCAGGTTGTGCAAGTGCCAAAATTTTAATTCTATCTCGTTTATTCCGAAAATATCCATTTCCGGGATAAAATATCAGTACAACATAAATAGGAAATTTACTATTAAAAGTTTAATGGTGTTTTTAAAGTATAAGTAGTACAAAACCTTGAATTACAAATTATATATTTCATGTTATTTAAAATATTTCAAACATACACACACACACGTATATTTATATAAACACTAATAAAATTTTTTAATTCTGTAATCTTTAATGGTACAAAATAATTTAATATTTAATTTCTAAATGTGGAATAAGCTATGAAATGTAAACTTAAAAAAAAGGCGAATGTTGCAATTTTTTTAATGCACTATTAATTTAAAAGATAGCATTTTTTCTAATGGACATACTTTTTAAACATTTTAAACCGCAGTTTTAGTTTATATTTATTATAAATTTTGTTAATATTGTAAAATTTTTATATTTAAAGGTTTTATAATTATATAACTATAAAGATGAAGTAATAGTCTTGCCGAAATTTTCTTAAAAAATACTAAATTCAATAAGTCTTAAATAAATACAATGCAGTACGATAATGTTTTCATTTAATAATTTGGGTGGATCATGGTAGAAGGAAAGTTAGAGTTTAATTTATTTCATTATGACAATATATACTTGAATATATTTTAATTTCTTTTTACCCCAAGAAAATAAAGGAATAAATTAAATACTTATTGAAGATAAAGTTTTGTAATATAAAAGATAAAGAAAATTCTATATAACAAAAATACAAAATTCATACATTCAAAAATAAACAAGTCTTATTATTATTATAAACTTAAAATTGTCAAATTTTCATTAAAAAAGCAATACATACTGTTAATTGACAGCAACAAGTAGACTTCATGGCTTTAAAAAACGTCATTTAGCTTTTAAAAAGAAGGTTTTATAACGAAAAGATTTAATAAGCGAGTAACGATCACTATGTAACTTCTTTAATTCTGATAATGGTATAAAGATTTATGTATTTTACATTTTAGAACTGTAGAATAAGCAATAAAATTTTATTTTTCAAATAATTTGATTACACAAATTGTGGTTAGACTGATATTTTAGTTGTCATCTTGCAAGTCTTTTTTTAAATAGAATTAATATATTAAAATAATATTCATTCTCTAATGAATGAATAATATATTTATTATAACTTAAATAAATATGATAATTATTTTATTCAATTTGAATTATCCAATATTGATATAAGTGATGCCTTGTAATGAATAAATAAATATTATTGATGAATATAATGGGTAAATGAATAAATGTTTAGAATAATAATAATGGAATTTTAAATTCAAGTAACATTAATAAATGTTTACAAAACCTTTTAGATGAAAAATTACCAGTCGTAATCAATGCAAAAATTACTAAGTGAGGAAGGACCCTGAAGAATTTTGAAAAATTACATTTTAGCTAAAAAAATAAGTGTAAAATTGAATATAAAACGTTTACATAAGTAATTTACTGTATAGTCTTGATAATTAAGACATAAACATAAAATTATATACATAAAAATAATTGCGATGGTTTTATAAGTTATAATAAAAACAACAATAATTAACTGACTATACACACAAAATCCTATATATTTGGAAATTTCCTATTTATTTTACTTAAATTATAAGTTTTGTTTATTTTAATCAATGCATGTTCTTTATTTTCACTTTTATTAATTATTTAAACAATGCTAATGTGGTGTTTTCTGTGTTCCTAAACAAAACGTTTAGAAACACAGAAAACACCACATTAGCATTTTTAGAATTTAGAAGAACTTTAGAAA